ATTACTCCGGAAGAAATACGAAAACCGAAATTTGAAACAGGAAGTTTTGAATGAAACGAAATTATCGGCGGTTACCGGTAACGGAAATGAACAAAATCCGGAAATCGTAAATTTTTAAAAAGTGGGCGGGACGATTTCAGAGAGGCGGCCGGGGATGAAAATCTATCAATTAATTTACTTGGCCTATTACATTCTAGTATTATTAGTTGTTATTGGCTTTGACTGGCTTTCAGTAACTGTGAGTACACTCATATCTTTACTTTGTCTCGTAAGTCCTTTTGTTAGTAGTTTTTTGGGTGTTTTGTTTCGATCTAATGATTCAAGCCTCTTTCAACTGATTTGTTTTAAATGTTTTAATGCTTTGCTATAACCCGCTGTCCGGGGTTATGGGAGGTTGCGTGCCTGCAAACATATTTTATCCCGGAATATTTTATTGGCTGAAAGTATGACGAATGTTTCATTCCGTCACGTGCTTTCATTTTGTATCATAGCAACCCATATCGTATGAAAGTAACCCAAGATTATAGAATTATTAGCACCACCTACCGAATTAATTAACACTGTTTTTTCGGATTGTTCGTGTACTTCGTATAAACCGTTATGCTTTTAAGAAAAATGCAATATTTTTTATTTGGAAAAAGTAAATGTCAATACATCTTGTAAATGTGGATAATTCATTTCGAAGTTTTGTGTTTAAAGATATACTTTCAGATTCTAACTGTGGATAGCATATATGTTTTTTTCTCTAAGATCTGTAAATATAATAATTGGATTTTAGTTTAAACATATTTTATTGTTCAAAATGACAAATAGATCAGACACAAGTTTTACCGACTTCAAAGAATTGATGATGCTGTTGGTTTTGAAAATGTATACTAAATGAAAGGAAGTAGCCATAACATTTTAGCTAGAATTTCATTTCGATTAAATTTTCAAAAAGGACAGCATTCAATTCTATAATCAATTACAGGTCAAGATCTTCTTGCATCTGTATGTGGCGGGTCAGGATCTACTTGTATTCAGACAGGCACACCTCAAGTAAAAGGTATCTTTTATTTCATTAGCTCTTAATATAAAATGATTACAAAAAATTGAAAACAACAAATGAATAACCAAACTGGGAATTGAGACGTCAATACATGAAAAGCAAGCCAAACTAGACATCTATGGAAGAAACGGTCGTCCAGAATGCTCAATCGACCATACCAAGTATATTGATATATTAAACAGGAAGTTCTGAGTCAGTTATACATATCTATCTCTCATAAAGAGTTGAACAGCCCACGAAACACAGATCAATAATACTGACCGCTTTGTTATATAAACTTCTAAATTACCAGGCGCGTAGCTGCCTTTACGCAAAAAATCATTTGCTTGCACATTTTTTTCACAAAAAAAATAATTCTGAAATTAAATTACGAATGAGTAGGAAGACAGGTCAACCGGGCTAACTATCCAGCTGACACTCCAAGTCAGTATTGGAAGCGAGCCTTGTATTTCTCCTTTCTTGACTATTTCATTGAGGAACTCACAGCCTAGGACGTTTACTGGATAACTCCGATCGTTTTCAAGGCCAGAACCTTATACCTGCACGTTTGGAATCTTTGACAGCAGAGTGTATAGACAAACTATACGAAACATTTAGACACGACTTGACGGACAATCAAGAAACCTTCAACTCTGAGGTAAAGAGATGGCAGAGACGCTGGTCCAAATGTTATAGAGTAGCCCAAATCTCTGATGTCCTCTCTAGCAGTGACTAAAAAGGAACTATATCCTTCAATAGTTTGCAATAGTGTCAATCCTAGTTACAATGCCAGTAACTACATCAACTACTGAACGGTCATTTAGTGCATTATGGCGACTGAAAACTTATCCCCGTTCAACCATGGTATAGGACAGACTATCTTCGTTGGCGCTCATACATGTTCACAGAGAAATGAATATCGACACCGAGAGAGTTCTGCGATCATTTGCCTTGGCAAAAAAATAGATATATGGTCTTTGGATATTAACTTTACTTTAAGTCTTACATGCAGTATTAACATTTAGTAATACAGGCTCAATACAATAACCTTGAAAACATCTTAGATTTATATCCCTCACTTATAAGTCAAGACTTAAAAGTCGCCGTTTGATTTCGTATTCCCATTATCCGTTCGTCCAAAAGACTACTAATTCACCTTGGGTATCTGTGTCCCAAGTGACCTTCTACCGTTGTCGTAGAAACCCTTCCTTTGATTCGAAAATGACCTTAGTGAGAAACGCTACGGTCGGGTGTCTTGCAAGAAGCAGGACCTGCTTACCCTTTCGGAGCACTGGAGGTCGCCACATTTTTTTTTTTGGGGTTCGTGTTTTTTTTATCTGTATTTAGTTTTCAATATTGAATGTTTTTGTTTGTTCTTTTGTGTCTTATCTGTTCCCGGGTTGGTCATGTGTCCATTGATTGCCCTTCTATTGATAAACGCTTCGGTTGACTTGTCGACTGAAATTCCTGTTTTATAAAACTTATTCTATATTTGAAAACAACCATGTTAATAAGGAGTAATGTGAATTTCATAAGCATGGCATACCTGGAAAATGACCGAAAAATGATAATTTTCTGCATAAAAAGGTCCCAAAAAATTTTTCGCCTCGCTCCGCTCGGCTTACTAAGACTTATGCTTGCACTTTATTTTAGGCCAGCTACGCCCCTGATTACTTTCCTCTATGTATAATATCTGTATTTACAAAATACAATCGTTGTAAAGAATACATTTTATTGTGTATTTAGTTGGGGGAAAACGGCTGAAAAACCTAACTTAAAGGTTCGGCAATGAATTAAACATAGCATGATTGAACTTCCAGATGTATTGACCAATATGACGTTCACTGTTTTCATAGGGGTCAGTTGATACGAATGAGCAAGACGTCCAATTGGTGGTCGGTGAAAGAATTTAAAATTTGTATCAATGTGCTTTCAAATCAATATTGCTATGTTCAACAAATAATTTTTTATTCTTTTATTCATATAAATTTGTTCAAATATGTAAATCAACGTATACGGGGTAATGACACGAAGGCAGTACAAAGTATCCCGATGCTACACACAAAATAAAAGACATAATTTGAAAATATAGAATTTTGCAGGTAACAATTAAAAAAAACATATTGTTTCCCACAATTTCCGTATGAAATCGGGTCACTGTCCGGGAAATACATTTCGGCAATTAGTCTAGCTTTAGGAATTAATAATGATAATTTCTTGTTGTTACTTTTTGTGTGTAATTGTAGCCGGTACCTATCATATATGCAGTATATATAGAAGTGTTGGTGTAATTGTCAGTGGAACTACAAAGGACAAATACAATGGTTTAAATATAGTGTTTAATTAGTAAGACAAAACATCTACATACATATTACAAAATATATTATGCTGGTCAAGAGGATAGATGATATTATTTAAAAAATGCATTACCGGGTATTAGAATAATGCACGATATCTTTATTCCAGAATAAGATTTTGTTATTGAGATTGAAATAGTCAAAGAGATATATTATAAATGATAAATGATAAGCAGTTTTATACTTATTTTAGTAGTGTCTAGAGAAGACGAAGAAAAGCCTACTGTAGATGATGGTAATGACAGTGATGGGAGTGATGTCAGTTTTGGGTTGTTATTTGATTAAACATCAAGTAGACATTTTTACTTTGAAAAAAATGCGTAATATTCCTCCCCACAATGACTCAAAATTTATCAAATTTACAACATTTGATGTATTCATACGCAAATGTGAGTTTGTTTTTATATTAAAACTACATGCATATGCTAAAATCTTGGTTAAATTATATAAATATGACATCCTTCATATCGTTGTAAATGTATGAGCTTTCGGATGTTATAATGTTTATGCCCCCGCCGTAGCGTAGGGGGCATTAAGTTTTACCCTTGTCCGTCTGTACGTACGTACGTACGTCTCAAAATTGGTTTCCGTTCTCTAACTTTAGTTTGCTTCAACCAAATGTTATGAAACTTATTCACAATGCTTATTACCACAAAACACAGATCAAGTTTGAATTTTGGTGGCGTCACTTTTACTGTTCTAGAGTAATGCCCCTTTACAAATGGAAAATTGCTGAATTTATCGTTTCCGTTCTCTAACTTTAGTTTGCCTCAACCAAATGTTATGAATCTTATACACAATGCTTATTACTACAAAACACAGATCAAGTTTGAATTTTGGTGGCGTCACTTTTACTGTTCTAGAGTTATGCCTCTTTACAAATGGAAAAAATGCTGAATTTTTCGTTTCCAATCTCTAACTTAAGTTAGCCTCAACCAAATGTTATGAAACTTATACACAATGCTTATTACCACAAAACACAGACCAAGTTTGAATTTTGGTGGCGTCACTTTAACCATTCTAGAGTTATGCCCCTTTAGAAATGGAAAAATTGCAAAATTTTTATTTTCTTCTAAATATAAAGTAATTTTATTCAAATTGAAGTTATCTTCCTTTGTCCATGATTATAGTTGAATCAACCACAATCAATGCTTTATACAATGCAATGTTTAATTTTGACTTCCACTGATAAAACACAGATCAAGTTGTTTGCCTTCAAATATTGGCATGCTTGGGATTTTCTACTCTTTCCACAGTTAAAGAAGGACAGTAGATTTCATTAAGCTGAATTGAAAGTCGTTTCATACCTGACAAGGAGAAGCAACATACGTTTATAGACAAAATTTCCTCGTGTTGATATATCCACAAACTATTGCGGACCGGTGTTCTCGATGCATTCGCATTCAATGTTTACACCGGGATAAGGTCCGTTTGAGTTTGTTCTGATTTTTTTTTTAAATGTCATAGATGAGTTTATAGTATCTAATACAAAACACGCATAAAATGTTACGAAATGCATAATTCGTACAATGCTTTCTTATTCTAATTGTCACGGAATATTTATTGGAACAACAGTTTTATTAGACAATAATATCAGTACATTGGTATGCACTCACCTTGGCAATGATGTTCATCTGACCCGTCATTACAGTCAATGATATCGTCACATCTCCATGTATTTGGACAACATCTCTCACCATCAGCACACATAAAATCTCCCTTAGCACACAGTTTCTGAGCAGATGTTGTTGTTTTCGCCGTTGGGGTTGTAACAGTTGTTAGCGTGGTACCTAAAAATCGCTTATAAAGATGTAACTTTAAGTTACTTAAATAATAAATTATAACGAATCATATTGAATGCTTCGGTACAGATATGATTAATAGCACACTTTTCTTAAATTATCCATTGATAAATTTAGAAGTAATAAGGAAACAAACGCTCCAACTCCCTACATACACAATTCATTCATGTCTTGTCAGATTTACTTCAAACTTGCATAAATGATGACTAATAAAAAAAAATCTGAAAAAGCGAACCGTTTTTGCTGTAGGATTTTTCACTTATCATAGGTGGATTTTAGTTGATGTGTAGGGTTCTTGGGTATATGTGAGCTTAAAGGCTAGTGTTTTAACAGTTTTAGATAATTTATACATATTCTTGTAATAATGGTATGGTAATGGAATAATTAGTTATTGATTAGGTGTTCCAACTGTTTTGATTCGGGTGTCAATGATGAGTCTCACGAAGACGAAACCCGTCCCCAGGGCACAAGTTATAAACCTCTTATCTATGACAATTATTTTTTTATTGTTAAACTTTTTGAAATCGATGGACTATTATAAGCTTATTGGTAACAAAACGACTCATCAGAAAAAATAAATTAAAAGAAAGAGATGTGGTCGGAAATTGCGCATCTATAATTTTTATATTTGCATCTAAAAATTGCGTACTTTACAGTATTCCATCATGAAAGATAAAGTTTTCTCCTAGGGGACGAGTAACTGATTAAAGTGAGAAAAAAAACCGGACGATTATCATCTTTTAATATATATACCATCTTCGCTAGCCAAGGGTTACGATCCACTTCCCTCCTCTCCACCCTTGGCAGATTAAGCCAACATTTATAATAATGTTGCGCCATCTATCGGTAGATTAAAGTCACGCCCATTCCGAATACATTATTCTTGAACAATGGTAGCACTTGAACTCTTCAATTTGGAGGTAAACACACGGTAGCGTCTAGATTCTACACACTTGGTAAAGCAGGAAACGAAAATATACGTTGACATTCATGCATTTGTGCAAGAAACATACACAGAAACTTCTATTTGTTGATTAAAAACATTCAAATTGTCACTAAATATAGTCGTATGTTTAGGGATGTAAAGACTTGTTGCACAATACAACAATACAAGTTTTTAACGACCTTGACTGGCTATACAGCCCTTGCACGGTCGGCTCATATATAAGCACGTGGCAATTGTTTACATACACTTTCTACATTTACACGTGATCATGTTATAGGCGCTTTTTGATTGGATGCAGCGAGTTTCGACTGCAACCAATGAAAATCATTACCTTGTGTCTCCGAAATTCTATCTCAATCTGCCAAGGGTGGAGAGGAGGGAAGTGGATCGTAACCCTTGGCCAGCGAAGATGTATATATACTAGCCTAAACGACTCGTAAGGGGTTCCATGGAACCCTGTGTGTCTCGCCTACGATTGCTGCTGTCAGTGTAAAAGTGTAATGTTGACTTAAAAAGTGAGTCCATTTATTAGTAAAATACAGAATTGAAAAGAAAATTCAAACTTTTCTTAGGATGCTATTTCTTGGTCTCGAAGAAAAGCTTTTGTCCAAGTTTCATAATAATCCATGAAGGTTTACAAATGTATCATGTCAAAAAAAAATTAATCCCAGACTGTATGTAAATATTAACTGTAAAAACTAAGTCCATCTTATTCTATACAAAAAATACTGAAAATGAAAATATATTTTCAAAAGTTTGCTTCAGACATTATCTCCTAATCATTAAAAAGCTTCTGCCAAAGTTTCATAAAATTCTATAAAGGTTGACAAAGTAATTGATGTGTAACATACTTTAACCCTAGACTGTATCTACTTGTTAACCGTAAAAAAAACTAAGTCCATTTATCAGTAAAATACGGAAAAATGAAAATAAATATTTTCAAAATTTTGCTCTGGATACTATATTTTGGTCATAAAAAAGCTTCTGTATAAATTTTATAAAATTCCATGACGGCTTGACAAAATTATTGATGTCTAAAAAACTTTAACCACAGACTGAACCTAAATGTTGACGCCGCCGTTGCCGACGCCGACGACGGGATCTAGGATCGCTATGTCTCGATTACGCGACATAAATGTCGCAGGCTCGACAAAAACCTGAAAGGGAAAAGTGAGAAGTGCTTAGAAAATAAGAAAAACTTTAACACCAATTCATTTTGTGGTTAAGAAATTCATAATTGCTTGAAAAAGGGTCTTTCTTTTGATTTTTCACACGTACTTATTGAGTTTACTCTTAGTTGGTATAATGTATGGCAAAAATAATTATGAATGCTCGTCAAATTCTTCCTTTATTGAGTTTTAAATTGATTTAGGGTCGGGTGTCGCTGTCAATAAGACTTTAGACAGGTAGTATTTTAACATTGGCATTTTTTAATTCTTTTTAGTGGTAGCTACGACCTTCTTAAAGAATCGTGCATTGTTGTTATAGACCATACACTGATTATTGATGCATTACATAAATGTATATGTATGCTCAACTTAATATTAAAAAAATTCTGAAATCTTTATGCAGAAGTCAAAATGTTGTTCTTGAAGGTTTTCCTGGCTTTAGTTTAATTGCCGGGAAATGATCAGAATGCAGGATTTTGCAACTTTTATCTCAAAGCTTCTTGTGGCCTTCAACCACCAACCGTTAAACCCCTTCTGCGAGATCAGCAGTTCTATCTTATATAATAAAAATAACGGAGAGAATGTTCAATCAACTAAAGGGACTGCAGTCCTTTTACACAAATTATTATTTCTATGACGTATCATTTGCGTCAATTTTATTCTAGAAAGGTATCAATTGCAACAGAATATGGAATAAATTTTGAAAATCACTTTTATACAGTTTATTCTTATGTTGAGTTGTAACACCACTGCCCCAGGTTAGGGAGAGGGTGCGCGCTCACAAACATGTTTAACTAGCCACATTCTTTATATGCATGTCCCAAATCAGGAGCCTGTAGTTTAGTGGTTATCGTTGATTCATGACTGGCATATTTGTTTTTTGTAAATCGTTTTGTTATAAGCCGTTAGTTCTCGCAATTGAATTGTTTCACATTTTTTATGTGGTGGCCTTTTATAGCCGACTATACGGTATGGGTTATCTCATTGTTGAAGGCCGTACAGTTGCCTATAATTGCTTACATCTTTGGTGGATAGTTGTCTCATTGGCAATCATACCACATCTCCTTATTTTTATGTGTTTAGAAATAACGTGGCGTTGTACAACGATATACCGTACTGCTATCGTATATAAAGATAAACAGCGTATCCACTGTTTTCAATGGATCTCTATCATGTATATATGACAATGACCCACAGAGATTAGATTGTCAAATACTCCGAATGGCCTGTAAATGAAAGGCAACGGATTCGATGCGACTATTTCAGTTCATATGTTCGGAATTGGTCAATATTATATTTTTAATGAAAAGGATGTTGAAAGGAATGATCGGAAATGTGTCCGACAATCACTGTTCAAAGAATGAAGAAAACGGCAAGGAATCACCTCACAAAACTGTCTAACAAATTCAAGGTTTCTGAAAATTATATCTGAATTAAGAGACCAAATTTTATGAAAAGCGGTCGAAACTTTGACACATCGGAGACCTTTCTATACTGTATGGATTTAAGCAAAGCAAAGACTCGATAAAGAATACAGCTCGTCTGGATTGGGGTTTTTCTTTCGGCGGCAGAACATGACTATGCGATTGTATACCTTGACATTTCTGTTCGTCTGTATTATCATAGCAGTCAACAATACCATCACATCTCCACGAATCTGGGTAACATTTGTCATTATCAAACGTAAACTCTTCTTCACCACAATGAGACTTTTCACGTACCCAGGCTGTGTTAATTATCGAAACTAATATATATATATATATATTACAGCTTTTAGGAAATAACAAAATATTATTATTTAATTATTTGCTATTTAACAGGTGACTTAATGAAGTTGATATTAACAATTTCTCGGTGATGATTAGATAAAAATCTAAATGGAACATTGCAAAATCTTACAAAAAGAAAACTATTTGGTTTTGTATTAGTTCTATGACGATAGTCTATAAATCAGAGAATTTGAAAGGACGTTGAAATATAATTCATAACGTGGCATTTGCTTTTTAATAACAATCGACTACTAGTATGTATGTTTTCTTATTTTAAAAAAAAATACGAAATCTTGTTTCAGTTATAAATGTCATGCAGTAAGGAAGGAAGGAGCACTTTCAACAATATTACAATTATTATTTTGACCATAATTTTCTTGATGATTTTTTTTTTGTTTGTATTTTGTCATGTGCAAATCTACCTTATATCTCTCAACTAATTCTTCTGCTTACCATTGCATCCATATTCGTCACTCCTATCCATACATTCAGACTTCCCGTTACATCTCAGACTAATGGGTAAACAAAATGTTCCGGTCCATGAATTTTCATCACACTGAAACTCTGTGAGTGGGTTGCAGGACGATTCTGTCAGATAAAAGAGGCTAACATTTTCGCACCAGCATTTTAGGGATATATCTCAAATTAATAGTGCACATAGCGGTTTAAGCTAATAGAAAAGGGCAGATTGTAAGAATTGTAAATATACTCTACATAACTCAAAGTGAACTTTAACACAGTCTGAAATAAATGATTCCCTTATATTGAAAAGTTGAACTTGTTTGAAAAGAATTGTGTCCAAAAAGTAATTTAATAGTGTATGAAATTGAAAATTATATTACTTTGTAAGGATGCACAAGTGTTCATTTCCAAATGTAGAATCACTAATCCGGGGACGAATGAAAATTATTGGTACAGACTACAAAGTTATATATAAAGCCCGCCTTTTACGATTTACTGTATTAAAAGCACGAAAAGCGTAGCTTTGAGTCCGTTAGATATTTAAATAAGTCAGGCGTGGCTATATATGATTTGTTTTAGTAATGGGTTATGACGCACGTCAAAGGTGAAATACTGACCAATGCAGCTTAACTGTGCTTTTCATGAATTATATGTGTCAGTCAAACAGTGGTGAGCGCACTATGATATGTACAAAACGTCTCTTATTTTCAGAAAATGAACACATGGAGAACATGTTTTCAGTAGGATTTGTATTTCAAATAAATGTACATTTAAATGAATTCATGATTGTCGTGGGAGATACATTGAGATTTACAGACCCGAAAGTGATTTATGTGCTATTGAATAGTTTCCCTCTCCGAGAATTCTTGAGGGGGATAGATGCAAAATCTTATTCGATGTATACATGCTTTCAAAGCCTGAAAAAGACGTGTAGTTTTAGAGGAGTTGAGAATCTGTGATAAGATGGAAACATTTTTTAAATATTTTGTGAAGGTATTGTTTTTCCCTTCAAAACAGGAAAAAGATCGGTTAACTGATTGGTTGTTGATTGCGTTAGGTCCATCGACAAATATTTGAAGCATGCTCAATTCAAGAGATAGATTTTTGTAAATCGGTAGTAGTTGCTGAACATCTAGTGACATATATTTCTGGGGTATTCATTCTGATACGATAATACACTTGGCGGGGTCGCCCATAACAGAGAGAAAAACGATACGTGGTCTCGTTTAAACAATATTATTAGGTACGTGCGCCGTATTTATCTGTATTTAGATTTTGGTATTGTAGAAATTTGAAATTATTTGATAAAATAATTTATCAATATCGCCTCTTCGTTTATAGACCATGTTATTTCTTTTTGTAGCTTCCTTGTCGCACGTATTTGCCTCAAGTTTTGGGAACCGTGGTTTAATTCAGGGTTAGGTTTAGGAGTTGGACAAGTGTTGGGGTAGAGTTACTTTAAAGATCCCCCCTTTCCGAATTTATGTTTTTATAATTTGTTGAGTTTGCAATTTATGCATTTGTAAGAAATTTTAAAGTCATTTATATTACATTTTGTTTTATCTTTCATTATCTACTGGTCCGAGGAGGCGGAGCCAGACAATGCAATAACAACTTTTGAGATGGAAGTTAATGCACTCACCTAAGCTCCTCCCATTCCTTGCTTCACCTTTTATGACAAGCGTTCAACGGCGGGATTGTATAGTGATATATTAAGTTAATGCACTCCTCTAAAAATATAAGTGTTTACTCACTCGAAGATCAAAGGAAAAATTAGCATTCATGTTACAAACGACTTTATCAAAATAGAATAATAACATGATAATAATGATGGATGGCGGTCTTACCGTAATATGGCAAACGTAATGCTGTTGTAATTCCAACCAGGAGTACACAAAGTAGAGCTTTTGTTTTCCAGTGCATCCTAGAAGAACATTCCGACATTCAGTGCCCAGAAAAACAGTAAATAAACTACTTATGTGATGTTCAATAGGTTACTAAATTATGTTTGGTCATTAAGTAAGTATTTAAGCTTTTAAATAAATATGTACAAGTCTATGATTGAGACTATGCACAAATAATAATATCAAGTTTTCAGATAACACTAGGTGATAACTGTTTGTATGATGGTCAGTTTGTACAAAAGTTCAAAGATATACGAACAAATAAGGTGATGTTCGAAGATTATGTCTATGTTGGACAATGTTATTGTTTCAGAGTTCCGCTCTTTCTTTACTTGAAATGTATTTGGATGAATATTGCCATTTTTATATTTTGGTCAGTTCATTTTGTTTGTTATCCGGACCGGAGTTTTCTTCATCTAAAAAGTGAGCTTACTAGGTATAGGGCATACTATGTGTATACAATGCTGAATGCAGTGAATCATATCATGATTTTTGACAAGTTCGGTTGATTTGATCAGGCTCCATGAAAACGATTGAGTGGTTTTTTTTTTCATATTTTTAAAAGTTATCGTCACACATATTGATTGAGACTGAGGCACGATATGTATTGTCTTAGATATTGTGACACGATGTGTATTGGTCCTATAGATATTGTGACACGATATGTATTGGTCATAGATATTGTGACACGATATGTATTGGTCCTAAATATTGTGACACGATATGTATTGGTCCTAGATATTGTGATTTAAGCTAAAAAGGAGTAAGGTTGGGTGATCAAGGAGAATTGAAAAAAAACGGATCGTTTATCACTTACAAGAAAAGAAAAAAATGTGTGCAAATATAGATTCCACAGCATTATCGTTTATGATTCATATTTCTCCTCACAAAACATCACCCTATCAATTTTTGATTTTCAAATATTCCGACCTTGATCATCACTGAAGAAACATTGATTGTTGAAATGCGCATCTGGTGCAGTAAAACTGATACCATTAATGTTATTATTACCAATGGGTTGATACCTCTGCTGTCGGACAGTTAATCCAGGAGGGTATAACCCCGATAGCTCAGTGTTTCGGTACTGGTGTGAAAAATACGGATCTTGTTTTATTGAAATTTGCTGTTATAAATCTTAGAAATTTATACTAAATAAAGAAATATGTCTCCCTGGTCCATTGTTCTGATTCGTTGTCCGGGTTTGTCTATACATAACGGTCCTTGTTTGTTATATCAGCTGTTCCAAATTTGTAATATGTGTTATAGGTGTTCTATTTTTAAATGTTTTGACTTTAAGCATCCCTGAAGAGAAATTTATTGTGGCAATGCGCATCTGGTACAGTAAAATTGCTAACGTTAATGTGAGTAAAAATCACATAATGTTTGCTAACGTTTTCGTTCCTTTTGGCACCCCTTATTCGCCTGAGGAGTGCCAGGAGGAACGAAAATGTTAGTGAATATTATGTGATTTTTATTGAGATTTTTAATGTATGTATTACTAAATGTAGTCTATTGCGATTTTGTTCTTTTTATTAATATATCCGTGCACAGTGGAACTTACAGCTTTATTCTTACAATTATGATTTCGGCTCGTGGTCGCTTTCTTTCGTGATATTGGCCAATCAGAAAAGCAGGAATATTCAACTTCGTAAATGAATTTTGACAAATGAAGAATAGAGATCAAGACACAAACAACACATCGATTATCAAAAAATAGTCAACCGGTCGGCGAAAGTAAAAATTGAAAGATATTTAAAATATATAATGGAATAATGTCGTTTTATTATATTGTTATAATTCTACACAATTAAATTCTGTCCGTTAGCAGAGGCGGATTTAGATGGGGCCCAGGGGGCCCGGTCCCCATTTCTCTTAGGCAGTCAGTGGGCCCCCACTTATGAAAATTTCTGGATCCGCCACTGGTTAGAGCTGTAAAAAGTGCCGAAAAGGGATATAAAAATTAAGGTAAGGTACCGTTTTAAGTGGCTGTATTACCATTTTATTGATTTCAGTGGCGCACTTAAAAATTACTGTCCAATACCACTAATAATATTTCAACAGAAACAGTTAAATTTCCAAACAAATTCGTTGTATCTATGAAAGAATTGAGTTAAGGTTTTAAGTTATTAACGAAACCCCTGACTTTATAAGCTACCAGTTATACGTGATCATAATGGACCACATTCTATGAAATCCTAGGTGTCACTATAAACACGAGCATAGCGAAAAATAAGGTTTGGAAACGCGTACCCGTAACAAGAGGGCACAGGAACATCAACGTCCAAAGAGGAAATTATATCCATACCAAGAAAAAAAATCAATGCTGTTCATATTATATTTATGAGGGCCCCGCCGAATGGCGGACGCCCTATAGTGATCAGACTGTGGTCCGTCTGTCCGTCCGTCCGTAACAAATTGTGTCCGCTCTATATCTAGAGAACCGTTATGATTTCAAAGTTTATACTTGACATGTATTTTAACCAACAACAGAGGGTGTGTCATAATGTATGTACAACTTCCTAGGTCAAAGGTCAAGGACAAAAACTTTTATTTCAGTTGACAACGCCATGTCCTATGGTAAAGATCGTGTCCGCTCTTTATCTTGAGAACCATTACGATTTCAAAGTTTATACTTGACATGTATATTAACCAACAGAGGGTGTGTCATAATGTATGTACAACTTCCTAGGTCAAAGGTCAAGGTCAAAAAATTTGGTTTCAGTTGACAACCCCATGTACTATGGTATAGATCGTGTCCGCTCTATATCTTGAGAACTGTTATGATTTCAAAGTTTATACTTGACATGTATATAAACCAACACCAGAGGGTGTATCATAATTTATGTACAACTTCCTAGGTCAAAGGTCAAGGTCAAAAACTATGGTTTCAGTTGACAACCCCATGTCCTATGGTAAAGATACCAAAATATTCACAGCGGGGTCCACAGAGATGGCTCCTATCTCAATGATATCTAGTTTAAAGTCAGTTAGTTCCTGTAAGGTTACTTTAAAAATATTGTATTTGCAAAATAAATAAGACACAAGTAAAGTTCCAGTAAGTGTCTGCAGTATAAATATATAATTTATATATGGTTACGTTCTTTTCCTTATTAATCCAAGAAAATGCAAAAATGGTTAACAATGAAATGTTAGAAATATTGTTGTGATTCCGGTAAAATTGAAAAATGATAATTGAACTTTAAAATATCTAATGTTGTGATTAAATTTTCAAATTCAAAAATTTCTTTTTTCGACCTTATCTTACTGTTGTTTTTTTTTTTTCACTTCTATAAATTTGAAAACAAGTTCAATATAAAAAAAAATCGAGAATGCGATAAAGCGACAGTATCAAAATAAAAACAATGTCAACATACGGTCTTCATCTAAAAAGTAGTATGAACGGTATGTCAACATGCGGTCTTCATCAATTGAAAAAATAGTCTGTACAGTATGTGAACATAAATTCTTTGGCAATAGAAAAAAGTATGTGCATTATTAAGCGATAGAAACTAGTCTGTGCATATAAAAATAAGAAGAAGTGGTATGATTGCCAATGAGACAACTCTCCACAAGAGACCAAATGACATAGAAGTTTAAAGCTGGCATGTCAGTTAACTGCTAGTAGTCTGTTGTTATTTATGTATTATTGTCATTTTGTTTATTTTCTTTGGTTACATCTTCTGACATCAGACTCGGACTTCTCTTGAACTGAATTTTAATGTGCGTATTGTTATGCGTTTACTTTTCTACATTGGCTAGAGGTATAGGGGGAGGGTTGAGATCTCATAAACATGTTTAACCCCGCCGCATTTTTGCGCCTGTCCCAAGTCAGGAGCCTCTAGCCTTTGTTAGTCTTGTATTATTTTTAATTTTAGTTTCTTGTGTACAATTTGGAGTTTAGTATGGCGTTCATTATCACTGAACTAGTATATATATTTGTTTAGGGGCCAGCTGAAGGACGCCTCCGGGTGCGGGAATTTCTCGCTGCATTGAAGACCTGTTGGTGACCTTCTGCTGTTGTCTGTTCTATGGTCGGGTTGTTGTCTCTTTGACACATTCCCCATTTCCATTCTCAATTTTATTTTATAGGTCACCGTACGACCTTCAACAATGATCAAAACCTATACTGCATTAGTCAGCCCTATAAAAGGCCCCGAAATGACAAATGTATACAAAATAATGAACGAAAAACAAATATGATATAAAGCAAAAAACGACAACCACTGAATTACAGGCTCCTGACTTGGGACAGGCACATACAAAATGTGGCTGGGTTAAAATAGTTTGAAGACCTCCTATCCCCCCCCAGTCCTGGGACAGTGGTGTAACAGTACAACATAAGAACAAACTATAAAAGTATAAAAGTCGGTCAAAAAGGGCTTAAAAATTTGGTTTTGAAGTTTGGTTGTACCTGTAGAAAACTTATTTCAAACGGGATTGCACATCCTCATTTTTAGGGAGATGTTGTTTACCGAGCCCGGAAATTTAGAAACGATCCGGGTAAACTTACCGATCCTTTAAATAAACTTATTCTAAAAGGTTGCCAGTTCAACACTGTAATTAGATCTTTGAATAGTGTTTTTATTTGTATTAATATTGATTTTGTTATCAGTAAATTAAAATAAAATGAAATATTATATACATATGTACATTCATGGCTCTACAATCTGTCGATACCTGTATCTTGGCATTGCACAAGGTCATGTTTTTCTCCGACTTTTTATGACGTTTTAACTCTAAATCCATTGGATGTTGGATGTGTACTGATTGATATTTCAGTGTAAGATGCATGATTTTTTATTAGTTGTTAATGGCTTTGAACTAGCTGTCAGTAACTGCGAGTACTCTCAGATCTGTACGTAGTGTTATTTTGTTGTGGGGATGAATAAGTACCCATCAATATCCACTCTGTGTTTTTGTTAAGATGTATTTCTATTTGTATCCATCTGATGAGTTAAGCCTTTTCCAACTGATTTTAATAGCTTGTTCTTTATATGTTGTACCGTTACACGACTGTCCCAGGTTAGGGGGAGGGTTGGCGACTTCAAACGAGTTTAACCCTGCCACATTCTGCATGTGCCTGTCCCAAGTCAGGAGCCTGTAATTCAGGGGTTATCGTTTGTTGCTGTGTAACATATTTGTTTTTTTGTTCATTATTTTGTACATAAATTAGGCCGTTAGTTTTCTCGTTTGAATTGTTTTACATTTGTCATTTCAGGGCCTTTTATAGCTGACTATGCGGTGTGGTTTTTGCTCATTGTTGAAGGCCGTATGATGACCTATAGTTGTTAATTTCTCTGTCGTTTGGTCTCTTGTGGAGAGTTGTCTCATTTGCAATCATACCACATCTTCTAATTTTAATATTAACTCATCAGATCGATACAAAGCAGAAAGACAGAGCGGACGTGGTAGGGTATTTACAAGTCCACAATACAAAAAAGACACAGATCTGAGAGTATTCGCAGTTACTGACAGCTAGTTCAAAATCAATTACAACTAATAAAATAACTGAAGAACGGTAAAAGTGACGCTACCCAAATTTGAACTTGATCTGAGTTTTGTGGTAATAAGCATTGTGTGTAAGTCTCATAACATTTGGTTGAGGCTAACAGTAGAGAACAGAAACTAAAAATTCAGCAATTTTTCTATTTGTAAACACGCATAACTCTAGAACGGTTGTGTATAAGTTTTATAACATTTGGTTGTGACAAACTAAAGTTAGAGAACGGAAACGAAAAATTCACCAATTTTTATGTTTATAAAGGGACATAACTCAAGAATGGTAAAAGTGTGTCCACCATATTTCGTACTTAATCTGTATTATGTAGTAATAAGCATTGTGTATAAGTTTCATAACATTGAGTTGAGGTAAACTAAAGTTAGACAAGAGTGCACACGCTGAAATGTCTCGCCTTCTTTACTAATCACTGATATTGTGTTGATAGTCCTAAATATGAAGCTTTATTACAACTGTCACATAAACTTAACATTAACCAAGAAAACTAAACATTGACCAATGAACCATGAAAATGAGGTTAAGGTCAGATGAATCATGCCAGGCAGGCATGTACAGCTAACAATTCTTCCATTCAACAAATATAGTTGACCTATTGCATACAGTATACGAAAAACAGACCAAAACACAAAAACTTAACTATAACCACTGAACCATGAAAATGAGGTCAAGGTCAGATGACACCTGCCAGTTGGACATGTACACCTTACAGTCCTTCCATACACCGAATATACTTGACCTATTGCTTATAGTATCTGAGATATGGACTTGACCACCAAAACTTAACCTTGTTCACTGATCCATGAAATGAGGTCGAGGTCAAGTGAAAACTGTCTGACGGGCATGAGGACCTTGCAAGGTATGCACATACCAAATATAGTTATCTTACTACTTATAATAAGAGAGAATTTAACATTACAAAAAATGTTAACTTTTTTTTCAAGTAGTCACTGAACCATGAAAATGAGGTCAAGGACATTGGACATGTGACTGACGGAAACTTCGTAACATGAGGCATCCATATACAAAGTATGAAGCATCCAGGTCTTCCACCTTCTAAAATATAAAGCTTTTAAGAAGTTAGCTAACGCCGCCGCCGCCGCCGCCTCCGGATCACTATCCCTATGTCGAGACAAAAGTCGCAGGCTCGACAAAAACGGAAACAAAAAAATTGTACTTGATCTTAGTTTTGTGGTAATGAATATTGTGTATAGGTTTCATAATGTTTGGTTGGAGCAAACTTAAGTTACAGAATGGAAACTAAAAATTTTGCAATCTTTCGATTTATAAAGGGGCATAACTCAATAATGGTTAAAGTGACACTACCCAAATTCAGCTTGATCTGTGTTTTATCAGTGTAAGTCAAAATTAAACATTGCATTGTATAAAGCATTGATTGTAATTTATTCAACTATAATCATGGACAAAGGAAGATAACTCCAATTTTGAAAATTACTTGATATTTAGAAGAAAATAAAATTTTTGCAATTTTTCTATTTATAAAGGGCATAACTCTAGAACGGTTAAAGTGACGGCCACGCCACCAAAATTCAAACTTGATCTGTGTTTTGTGGTAATAAGCATTGTGTATAAGTTTCATAATATTTGGTTGAGGCAAACTCAAGTTAGAGAACGGAAACCAATTTTGGGACGTACGTACGTACGTACAGACGGACAAGGGTAAAACTTAATGCCCTCGCCGTATAAAAATTATTGATCTAACAAAAGTCCGTTAACGACCGGTTTTCTGGTTCATTTTTTCTGTTAATTATAGGCAAAAGGAAAAACAATAGTTTACTCAAATATTAATCTTTAATAGTAAGGTTTAGAGAAATCATGACGGTAGCAGAAATATTTAACTTGTGATTAGATCAAATCGGTTTAAATTAGTCTTTGATTAATGGGTTGGACTCTGTCTATGACGCCTCTCCATAGAATGCCTACTGGTCATAGCTAGGTTTCTCCGTCTCTCTACCAGCTGCCTCTGAAGTGATTCATGTCTTGCCTTCATAGCTCTCTGATGTCTCTTTACACCCTCACTCTTTTCTCGTCTTAGTGCCTCATGGATATTCCTCTTTACTTGGTCCATTTTCTTTAGAGCTTTCTGTGCAGTTGTCTGGTGATTTGGTGATCTTTTATTTCTGGATTTCAAATGAGTTAAGAGTCTCTGGAATCTCTTCAATGTCATTCTTCTGCCTAAAAAAATTGGTTATTACTATAATTATTTGTTCATGGTTTTGTCCAGCTAATTCCTGTATCTTAAGCTATTGTTGCCTCTTTATGTAGAATTGTCTTTGATGCATCCAGTACAGAATGTGTTGAATGTTTTCCTCGTGAACCATAACAATTAAATGTGTTGAAATATAGTGAAAATGGCATTGAGGCAGCATAGTATAGGAAAAGGATTCAAACATGATAAATTTCGGGTCCAGGACTTTAAAAAGAGGAAAGTGTTCTTAATATTGGTCGTCGAGCGTAAACTGGGGTAAGCAGTTCCATACATTTTTCATATCTAACACTTATTTTTTTAGGTTCCAAGTGTGGCGTGGTCAATTACATCAAAGATTTGATGTTAATCAGTTTAATTATCTTTCTCTTGATTAATGTGACAGTTTATACGGTACATGGGTTGCACAGTACAGTTGCAATAACATTTTAGAAGTTTATCAAAATAATCTAAGACCATAAAATAATTTTTAATCTAATTTAAGAACAGCTGTTTATAGCACGATCTTGTGAGAAACTTTATGTATTAGTCAGTTGTCATATAGACGAGAATGAAGTAACAGTTGTCATATAGATGAGAATGAAGTCAGTTGTCATATAGACGAGAATGAAGTCAGTTGTCATATAGACGAGAATGAAGTAACAGTTGTAATATAGATGAGAATGAAGTAACAAGTTAAATTGGAAATTATATTGTGAACCTATATACTTATATCATACATGTACTGCTATATGAATATCCATACGAATAAACATGTGAACATTAAACGGACTTCGTTACTAGTATATAGACAGTAGTGAGCTTATGGTGAAATATTCAATAGCTAGTTCCCTATATTAACGGGCAACAAGATGGATTACGATCCCGTGTACATAGTTCCGAGATAATGTATAGTCCCAAAACATACACAGAATAAAGCCCCGTTATACAAGATTAAGGTTCATTAAATTTGAGAAAATTTATGTTTTTTCTATTTCATGAGCGCATAACTGAGGTTGGTAGTATTTTGCTTACTTTTTATTACATAATAAATATGGGGAAATACAGATAAATATGAAGACACTATACCACAAAAGAGGTAAATCCATGGCCCAATTTGATAAAAATAGAATTCAGATATTTTGAATCGTTGGACATGTGAATAACAAATACGGATCCATTCTGCTCAAAAATCTAAATTTTCCACCTCCCATATGTTACTAGTATGCAAAGACATAGAAAAATAAATGTAGATGATGTGCTATATAACAATATAATAAAAGGGAGCTCTGCTATTTTTCTATATGTTATACAATATAAATTCCAATGTTAGAAATAACATTGGTTAACATACATCATAAAGTCTATTTGTTTCTTAATCAATCTAAACAGCGCTCACAAACGTGTAATCCTGCCACATTCTCCATGTGCCTGTCCCAAGTCAGAGACTTTTCACAAAAAATCTTACGATTAACTAAAATGTGTATGACTTACGAGTATTTTTACTCTAAGATTTTTTGTGAAAAGAGACTGTAATTCAGTAGTTGTCGTTGGTTCATCATCTGTCATTTTTGTTACAAATTAGGCAGTTAGTTTTGATGTTTGAATTTGTTAACATTTTTCATGTCAGAGCCTTTTATGACCGACTATACGGCATGGGTTTTTCTCATTGGTGCAGACCTATAATTGCTTTTATCTACGTAATTTTAACTCTAGTTGAAAGTTCTCTCATTGGCAATAATGCCACATCTCCTTATTTTCATATAAGGAGATATTTCAATCGGAGTTTTATAACAATTACATTATTCTATAAACTGGAAATTTACAGACCAAATATATTAATCAATTGTCATGTTTTAATGTCAAAATGTGTATACTGCACTTTGTTACTTTTGTCTGCATATGATTTAATAAATTGTGGTTTGTTGTTTTGTTGAGTCATATTTGAATATCTTTTTTAAATACTTTTAACAACTTTCTAAAAGGTAAACAAAAAAGAGCGAGATTTTATGTATTAACATTGACTTACTTGGGTTAGATCCACAGTTAGCTTCATCCGATTTATCAGAACAGTCTGTGAATCCATCGCATGATTCAGCTTTTAGTACACACATTGAACCGTCACTACATCTTTTTTGTGTGGATTTTGGACATCCTGTTCAAGAAAAAAAAAACATAAAATATAGGAGTTTTCATGTTAAATTGTTATAATATTCGAATTAGCTCTCGCCGCGATATAGCCTTTCTGTGCTAATGCGGCGTAAAGCAAACAACAACAATCAATCAATCGTATTCAATTAGAAATAAGAATGACACTTTATAAATTTGGTGCGTTCTAAGCGCTTTTCTCCCCTCCCCCTCACATACCAAGAAAGTAAAATATCGCCGTAGTCATCATATACTAGTTAAACATATATAGCGATTTGTATAAAAAAAAAAATTCCAGAGAAATTAGAAAATCCCAAAATTTTATAAACCTATAAATTTAATTTAAATCCCAAAATTTTATATATCTATAAATATAATTTACTGGACATTGGACCCATATTATATTTGATTACAGCCCTGAAACGGAACTGAAAACCATGAAAACTGCAAAAATACCAATTGCTTCGATATGAAATATTAGATATAATCTGCGACCTAACAAATTGAAGTGAAGATGTTTCCTTCTAAAGTTTTTTCCCCAAATATATTTATGAGATTTTTTTTTAAATCAGCAAAATTACAGAAAAAATTTAGATCTCGAAACTGTCTTTTGATCATAAAAAAAAGCTTCTGTCTTAGTTTTACAAATTTCCATGAACGTTTGACAAAGTTATTGATGTTAAAAAATATATTTAACCAGAGTCTTAACTGTCGATGCCGCAGAGAGACGATAGATTGCAGGATCGATCAGTCTCGCTTCCGTGATAAAATGTTACAGGCTCTACAAAAAGCATAACTTTAAAAAGAATAGTTTGGAATTTTAGGAGCATAATAATGGCTCCTATCACATTTCTACCCTTTTTGCATTAATTTTGACACACAGTACATTCAATTGTTCTGTGTAAATTACGCCATACGTTCGTCTTCTGATACCAGTTTTAAAACTGAACTTACCCGAACAACCATTCTCATCTTCACCATTGGGGCATTCTGGAATTCCATTACATTTACCGCTTTTAGCAAGACAGAAACTGTTAGGACACTTGAACTGTTTACTAGAGCAGGTTGCAGCTAAAAAGCATTATTATTCAAAATCATTTAAATGATACAGTAAAATAGCAAAGGTGTATTCTGTAGTTAAGAAAGTAAATAAATAAAAGTTATGTTTTCAGAATGTCAGAAGATCAACCAAGACATACGCATGTACAGAGGTCAAGTCCCGGTCAGTTGAATTATAATTATATCTATTGCACCCAACTCATGACAGTGGTTACAAAGCAACTTGTCGAAATCAATTTTATTTTGAACCAGTGGCCCACAGCTTCCACAATAAAATACATTATCTTTTGATGTTGATGTAACTGTGTCCTAAAACTATTTGTCATTATATAAATTACATTGTTTCAACTACAACCGCACGCCAATCTTTATCATAAAGAACAGTTGATTGGATAAAAGTGATGGATTGCCACGCCTACTAGTATATTAAACTGCGGTCCTATCAACTGACTTCAGATAGCTGTCAATATGGGAAAACATATTCCAAATGGATATATTTAGACATTTAGTTGGGAACTAGTATTCGATATTTGAAAAAAAAATATTGGTATCTCTAATTGTTTCAGTAGTTTCAGTATTAAAAGTGTTGAGTAACGTTGAACATGAAATTGTAGATTAAGTTTGTGAAAACGTGTACACCCCCTTTTTAAGTCATTCCATATAAAGAAATACAAAAAATCTGCAGGTTTTGTGATTTTATAAGAATTGCAAATATTTAACAAATTCAAATTCTCATACAGAATGATTTTTAAGTTCTTTTTTTTTCTCAACATTGGTTGCTGGAGAGAGAGAGAGAGAGAGAGAGAGAAAGGGGAAAGGGGGGGGGGGGGGGGGGGGGGGGTAGTAGGAGGGATGTCATCCCACATTTCCGAGAAAAAACAAAGGCTGAATACCGAAATCCCGAAAAATAAAGCATTCTTTCCCGAATCCTGAAAAATTATCATTGATTCCCGAGTCCCAATAAGTGTAAACCCCGAATTCCTGCAAAAATAAAGGCCCAACCCGACGTCCCGATAAGATCTGTTCTAGAGTTCAGTTTATATAAATTTTCAGAAATTAAAATCAAACAAAAATATTTAACACAAATTTGTCTTCAGACACGTAAATTGATATAGGTTACTAGCTGGTCTGGATTTTGATAGAAAATAGCCAATGAAATGCATAAAATATCTTATGTCATGGGTCACGCACGGACTGTCTTACTTTATAGGGATGCTTATGCGGCACATCAAAGATAAGGTTAATTTTTAACCAGACATTTACCAATTGTATATAAGAATGTACCACAAAACTTAGATTCACTTGAATACATTGACCTCTTATCTTGTCGACTTTGAAGACCTCACAGAAGAGACCTTGATGAAATTTGAAATTTCAACAACTCTTTAATTTTCACGGGAACGAAGATTTTGCAAGTACGTAGAAGTGATAAGATCATCAATGAAGTAATTTTGAAAATTAGACGCCAAGGTCGAAACTAGCTCTAGATAATAATGAAGAATGTGAACCGTCCCAAAGCAAGAAGGTATAATCATATACCCGAAGTTTTGTTCGTGGACATATGTTGTTGGTGGATAAAGTCGCATGGATTTAAGGGTTCGAGGTATGAATCATTTGAATAAAAATATTATCTATGTAGAATTTTTGCTGTCATTTCAACTTGATTCAAACTCAATTATTTATATTTTATTGTTTTATAATTTTTTTTTGAAATGTCCATCTACCGAGTACAGAAAACCTCCACAAATTTAATAAAATATGCAAATTGATAGATACAATATTTGGTTCCTTTCCATATTCAAAACATTTCGCATTATTTTAGAATTTTCATTGTGTTAGAGATAAATTTAATGATACATTTTGTAAGAAATTAAAATTCATTTTTTAGGGTGAAGAAGATATTATTTTTCCTTTATTGCACAAACCACCACTGGACTTGAGAGATTGACCTGTTAGTTACGGCTGAAAAAGAGTCAACGTTTATGAATCGACATGTCCAACGCTTGCAAGAGAAATGTCGGCAGTGTTTGTGAAAATAATTTTATCTTTTGTGAAAAATCATAATTCGCTGTTGTCCGATAATTCAACCTTACAGTGATTTACAGTTCATTTGCTTGCCATACAACTATTGTCAGCAAAATTATTGCACAGAGAGGAAGCATATCCTGTATTTCGGAACAGAAAAGGAGCTTAAAGTATTTACTGAAAAAGTGATAATTGTTAAAGCCCGTGAAATACATGTGTACATCAAATTAATTTTATCATGAAAATAGAAAATTGTGCACTCAGAATTGTGCATAGCAAATAGTGATGTTATCAGAACTTTTCATTTTTAAAGACAAATTTTCGAATGGTCTGAAATCAGAAAGCTGCATTAGCGATAACTTGAAATACAATTTTAGATTTTGTATTTTCTTTAAGAGCAATTTTAATGCATATTTTTTTGTGATATCAATAATAAATTTATGTAGAAAATACACAAATGAAAGAATTTGGCTAATGTAATAATTCTGTTTAAAATTGCAAATTGTTTTACTTTGAAAAAAATAGTTTTGGAAAGTCGGAATCTTCAAAAGTCTACTTGATACTAAGAAGTTACATACCTCTTTATCAGGCAAATGAAAATATTCATCCTTATTTTGATTGATTGTTAGCTTTAGTTGTTTTATTTGTCATTGTCGATATTTCATATTTGGTTTGCACGATTGCATTGCATAATTAAATAGCTGTTTCTTTTATGTTTTTTCTATTTGTTCTCGAAGGTTAATTTTAATTCCTTCATGTGACCTCATCATTCTACATTTGGGCGCCCACTAACATGTATAGCACTCATACCACATCTTCTTATATCTATATAGCCCCGTCTCATTATTTATGTGCCTGTCCCAAGTCAGGAGATTGTAATTCAGTGGTTGTGGTTTGTTGCTGTGTATCAGGTTTCTTATTATTTTGTTGTTTTGTATGATAATTCAGGCTTTTGTTTTCTCGCTTCGAATGCTTTACTTTTTTTTTTATGTTTGGGCCTTTTATGGCTTGCTATGCGGTATGGATTTTGCTTATCGGTGAAGGACGTACGATGACCTATAGTTACTGTAACATCTACGTTATTTGGTGCCTGGTGGAAAGTTGTCTCATTAGCAATCATACCACATCTCCTTATTTTATTTTGTACTTGTATCAAATCTTAAAATGATTGTTCAAAATTCTATAAGCTTTCTGAAAAGCTTTAAACTTGTATACAGCAAATAGTTAAATAAAATGCTTATACTAGGTGCAGATAATTATTTGAAATCGAATCCTTTCCCCCAAGGATTGTGAAAAAAATTGTTTTGCATTGGATGTTTATGTATTTCTCTCTTCCAATATTTCTTTAAAATCAAACAATTTTTGCGAAAATAAACCGCAATTCCTACATCCCAACATTTGTTGGCCGATGCGAGTCAAACATATTGTTGTGCGTTATAAATTACACCACAGACTTTCTTTATTCAAAGAATAAGTTCGAAAGTACATAATTATAACTCAATTATTTATATTTTATTGTTTTATCATTTTTTCACTCCCCCCCCCCCCCCCTTCCCCCCATGAAATTAATTATTCTTCTTCAAGAAATTTAGAATCAATAAAAATATTTTAAAAACGTGGCAAACTATTGTAAAAATTCACCATGATAAAGAGGGTTTATAATGTAATGTCTTTCGAATTCATATTAATTGAATTTGGTTAGCGATTCAAAATTTTGCAAAAACATATAAAATTTTGAGTTTTGTAACAAAATATGCCTTCATCAGCGATAGATAATAATTTAGATTGGGAAACAATATTTAAGAAAATGATAAAGACTGTTTAATAATCAGATTCCAGTAGGATTTTGCAACTTTGAGACATTTACCTTGCAAGTTAAAAAAAATACAGGGGAAATTGGTCGCATCTTTTTGCATCTAAAAACATCCGGCGAAAACAATATTTTTTTTTATCTTTCACATTTTTGTTTATAAAAGACATCGTGAGTTTTTAATAAAGATTGACATTTAAGACTAGTGTGTGAAATGCATTGCCTCTTTTACAAATATATATTCACGCACGTAGCGAAAATGTATACATTTCAATCGACAAAGAGAGGCAGTTTTTAATGACTTTTATGCAAAAGAAAACTTTCCTTTTATACACAATATTTTCAAGCAAGTACAATGTTATCTTACATTCATACAACTCCTCTGTTTTCATTTTGAAATGAAATTAATAGATTTCGTAAAATTTACGACTCCAGAATATCTTTCACAGTTGATTAGTATTTGTAACATCGTCACAAAATATATCATACTGGAATTTTCTTTCTTATCCAACGATTTTTTTTCCTTTTTTCGAAGAGGGACGCATTTTTTTAAAAATTCGTAAGGGTTCCGCGGAACCCAGTGTCTCGCCTACTTTTTCTGTTAATCGCAGGCTCAACAAAAATGAGGAAGTAAATCAATAAAAATATTCCTCTTGATACTATCTTTTGATTGTAAGAAGCTTCTGTCCAAGTTTGGTAAAATTCCAGGATAGTTTATGAATCTAATAAATGTTTAAAAACTTTAACTGCAGACTGAATGTAATGTTAACTGGAAGAAAACTAAATTTCCTTCTAGATACTAGCATTTGATCATAAACAAGCTTCTGTCCAAGTTTGGTACAAATCCAAAATAGTATAAGAAAGTTATTAAAATTTTAGAAACTTTAACCACAGAGTGAATATGTTGTTTCCTGGCAGAAAATTTTAGTCCATTTAAAAGTAAAATACGGAAAAAATGGATTTATTTTTTTACAAAATTTACTTCTAGATACTATCTTATGATCATAAACAAGCTTCTGTCCAAGTTTGGTACAAACCCAGGATAGTTTAAGAAAGTTATTAAAATTTTAAAAACTTTAAACCACAGAGTGAATGTAATATTTACCGGCAGAAAAACTAAGTCCATTTATAAGTGAAATACGGAAAAAATGGAATTTTATTTTTACAAAATTTACTT